CCTTGTCTTTTCCCATATCTCAGAGATCATTGGCTTTTATCGCCTAATGTCCAATTTCTTGTAAACCGTTTTGTCATATTTTTTGCTTGATTTTTTATTTATTTCAGATGAGAGAGTAAATCTGCTCCCTGCCTCTATCTAGAAGCTTTAAGCATTGATCCTCTCTCTTTTCTCTACTTTCTTACTCTCCATAAAAGGAGCAATGTTGGGGGAGAGGGAGAAGGCAGCTTTTGCTATCCAAAAGACAGCAATTTGCCTCAAGAGTTAAATGTTTGGTTTGAGGAACCCTGTAAAATTTCATAGTTACTAAATTTCAACATCCTGAAATTGAGTTAAATTGCCTTTGAATATTTCTACTTTTACTTTTAAGTTCTGTGAACTGTTATTAAGGAAAAATAATAGGATTATGAATAGTTAGGATATTTTCACAAAGCAAGACAAAACAATGTATTATCTCATTTGCTACAACTTTTCAGAATGAATTCTGGGAGTGCCAAATCTTGTATATGATGAATGTTGTACACATCACCCATAAGAAATTATTATTTTTTTGTTGGAGCAACTAATCTAGGTAATATCAGTTAGAACGTCTTAACTAATTCTTTCTAATCTTAACCTCTTGGCTTTGAATTAAGAGCATTTGGAGTTCCTTCCAATGTTGGATTTAAAAAAAGAGGAGAAAAAAAGATTGTTGCTCAGGAAACATAAAGAAGATTGTTGCTCAAGATCTCTTACTTCCGTCTTTGTAGACGTAAGAGATCCTGAATCATCTGGAAGTTAGATACAGGAAAATGTTTTTATTTTCTTATCCTTCCTCTTTGACTCTTTTGCCAAACTGTTGAAGTGTAGACAACCTTAGAAGTTTGGGATTGAGAACATAAGTGAGTACTTCCTGTTTTCCCGACACGATGTCAGCCATGCATAAAGTTCTCCAACATTAGAAAATGGGTAGATTCCCTAAGTATTCTCGTATACATTTTATTCCTTTACATGAACCCGGTGAATGACATGTAGTTGTAATTATTATTCATTGTACAGATGTGGACACTTTGGCTCAGAAAAAGAAAACACTTTCCCAAGGTGACATGGATTAATGAGTGATAGAGTCGAATCTTAAACCTAGATCTTCTGACTCTGACCAAATGCTTTTAGAGGATGCATTGTTTATTACTGTCTGGAATGCTATTTAGCACCATGGTGTTTCTGAAAAGAAAGTAAATATCAGCAAAAAACAGTCCTGGGGTAAATAAAACAGGATCAGCTACTCTCTTAGAGGCAGCCCTCAATCATGAGAAGTTATGGAAAAGTCTTCCCCAGAAGTCTCTAAAAATAAGATATGAAATAAGCCCATCTGCTTTGCAATGAACATATTTTACAGCCAGTGGAAGTCTAGAAAATAATTTCATAATAAGTTCCACATGAAAGCATTTGAAACTTTAAAAGGCATAGCCTAATGAAGTTAGCAGAATGCCCCCATTACATGGTAGAAATCAGATTTGTCTTGGAAAGTAAACATTTATTATTGGTTGTTACAATGAGTACCAAATGAAGGATTCTTTATTTTTATCATATTTTTGGTGAGTTAATCAGAACTAAACTTCAAAGACTTTTGCATTTGGATAAGTAATAGAATTAACTTCTGATCATCTGTGCTAATGTCAGGAATGAGGGGCACAGGTATTTTTAGAACAGTAGATGATCCAAGAAATCTTTTCTTTTTGTCTTAAAAAAGTATAAGATTATAGATTATGATGTGTTCCCTGCCCCCTCATGAGAGGGATGTGAAGTCACAGAGTGCTTATTTTTTACTACGCTGCCATGTATTATAATTCATTTGTCACTTCTTAACATATGGCAGCCAATCCTGGAAGGAATTAGCAACAGTGAATGCCAGGCAGCAGTGAGAAACCAGTATAGAATGTTAATTTGTCACAGAAAAATCCGCAAAGTACAAATCTACATGTGGACATGCCCAAGTATTATCTGTGAAATTAGGCCAAATGCCTTCTGAGGATTTATAACTACTGAAGACTAATGCCAGGGTTAAGGATTTAGCAGCAAAAAGGAGTAAGGTAGAATCATGTTTCACTTTATACTTCAAGTGAAATCTGTTCTTTCCTCATTTGTTTTAAATTCCCACTTGAAATTCTAGCCTCAGTACTTCTTTAGTTCATACTTTCCTTACTGCCTTCTTCGGACATGATGCTTGAAAAATACACACAAACTAGTGAGTGCACAACCTCATGTTTGAGAGCAAGTAAGGCACTAAGGTGCTTTTCGGATGTGAATCTTGCAGTGCTTGGGAGCTGCCTCCATTGCAGTCCCTGTTCCTTTGCTAACTGTGGCAGTTCTCTTCAAAAGAGAACTTCCTCCATTCAAAACAGAGACCCAATAATTAGGCAAAACAACTGCTTTGGTTTTGTTTCTCCATTTTTTTTGTATTGGGTTTGCCAAAAAGTCTTTTACGTTTTTTTCTGTACGATGGCTTTAGTAGTGCTTAGTTGTCTTTAACTTCATTCGAAACAATTTTGTTAGATTGTATTGTGACAGCTGTCATATCAGTAAGCATTAAAAAAATCAAAATTGGTGAATTTTTCTGCAGCCATTTTAATACTGAAGATGGAAGAAAACATTTTCAGTGTACTATGCTTATACTATTAATATAATAATATTAGTATTACTTCTTTTTTTTAAAGATTTTATTTATTTATAAATAACAGACAGAGGGGAAGGGAGGGAGAAAGAGGGAGAGAAATACCAATGTGTAGTTGCTTCTCATGCACCCCCTTCCAGGGACCTGGCTGGCAACCAAGGCATGTGCCCTGACTGGGAACCAAACCAGTGACGCTTTGGTTCACAAGCCAGTGCTCAGCCCACTGAGCCACACCAGCCAGTGCATATGCTTTATTATTTCAAGAAAGGTAAAAACACCACTGAAATGCAAAAAAAAAAACAAAACAAAAAACCAACAACCCCACATAAAACAAAAGATTTGTGCAGTGTATGGAGAAGGTGCTGTGACTGACTGAACATGTCAAAAGTGGTTTGTGAAGTTTCTTGGTACTATTGATATTTTGGCCAAATAATCCTTTGCTGTAGGGCTGTCTTATGTATTGGAAGATGTTTAGCAGCACCCCTGGCCTCTACCCACTAGAAGCACATAGCGGTAGATAGCTGACATACTCAAAATATCCACATCAATAAATTTATTAGTGAAATGAAAATGTGTCTTTCATTTTATGGAAAAAACTAAGCAGACTTTTTGGCCAGCCTAATAGAACAAATGGAAGTACCTGTCCTATTCTGTATTAACTTCATTGTGGTGTTCAAAGGATATTGAAATACATGATTGGTTTTACATGAGAGAATTACCACATTAATTAAATTTTGTCTCCATGGTTCCAGTATACAAAAGCAGTCAGAATGACATCTGAAGCTATGTACAATTGTTGACCTAATCAAGACATAAGCAGTTCCCTATGCTTTTATCTAATATATCCTAAATTCATGTCTTTCATGTGCTCCTAAAATTACTATATACACATAAATCCTTATTATAACCATTAGGATTAGTACACACTGATTAATGTGAAGGTAGGCATGAAGTGTGTTAGAATATGGAATGGGAAGAAGATCAAAATTATGAACAGTAAAATGACAGCAAACTCACAACTATCAACAATGAACCTAAAAACAAAAACAAACGAAGCAAACAACTAGAACAGGAACAGAATCACAGAAATGGAGATCACATGGAGGGCTATCAACTGGGAGAAGGAGGAGAAAGAATGAGGGAAAAGTTCAGGGAATAAGAAGCATAATTAGTAGGTACAAAATAGACAGGGGGAGGTTAAGATTGGTATAGGAAATGGAGAAGCCAAAGAACTTATATGTACAACCCATGGACATGAAATAAGTGGGGGAGGAATGCTGGTGGGAGGGGGTGCAGGGCGGAGGGGGTTAAAGGGGAGAAAAAAATGGGACAACTGTAATAGCATAATCAATAAAATATACTTTAAAAAAATATATGGAGCCGGGTAGTGGAGAATGCGCTTATCACACAGATATTAATATGAATCCAAGTCTCATCATCCACAATCTATATAAAGTTGGTCATGTTACTTCACTTCTCCATGCCTCAGTTTTCTCCTCTGATAAACAGGGAGTAGTAACTACCTTGTAGGTTATTGCAAGGATTCAAAAAACTAGTTGTGAAATGTCTAGCTCAGAATCAAATCTTCTTTAGGATTCACCAAATCAGAAGGTGCTAGCTCTGATCTTGAGAAATAAACATTTAGACTATGATTCTAAAAGTATTTCACTTTTATAGAAGATGGACAGTTTTATTTTAAACCTTTAGAGGAGATATGAAAGCAAACAAATATTAGCAATACCTTAGGGAGAAAAATCTGGTTATAATCTTAAAACTAGAGCTAGTATTAGCAGCATATGGTAGGAATTTGGAAGGTGGCAGTATCCTTCAGGGTCCAGGCAGGAGAACAGAACTGAAATACTTTAATAGAGAAAATGTGATGTAAGGAACTTGTCACAAAGGTGATAGGAGAGCTGAGAAGGAGATCAGAGGTCAGAGAAGCAACAAATCGCTTACTCCCGGGCAGGGAACTGCCGTTGCGCCCACAGCCAGAGGAGACGGGGGGAACCAGAGCTTAGAGGGCCTGGGGAGAGATGGAACCAGCTGCAGACAAAACCTGGCCTAAGATGTCACACAAGACAGAGAGAAAGGAGGTGAAATACCCTGGTTTTTGTACTTCTGGCCCTCCAGTCTCCAGTCATTGTCTCCTCAGTAGTTTGTCCTAATTAGAAACCAGCAAAGAGCCTAGAACAGCAATGTGCAGGTGTCAGGCCCTGAAATACAGAACAGAACAGAACAGGAGAAGGGTAGGGAATAAATCTGAGGACAAATGGACAAATAACCAGCGTAGTGACATTTACGGTTTTTTGTTTTGTTTTGTTTTATTTTGGTTTGGTTTTTTCGGTTGTCAAATGACCTTTAATTGAAATATTCTCCCTGGTAGGTTTTCACTAGGCGGGCATTCCACAGCACCGCTGTTGATGTCATCTATGATGTCATGAGGGTGGCGGCCATCGACATTGCAGCCCACAGACTGGGCAGTCCCCAGGATCTCTTTAATGATTCCAGAGAGTTCTCTAGCTAAATATTGGTGCCGCATCTGTTGGGCAATGTTGACGATCTCATCAAAAGTGATGTTGCCACTGTGCTTAATGTTTTTTTGCTTCTTTCTCTCTTGTGATGGTTCTTTGAGGGCTTTGAAGATCAGGGCAGAGGCAGAAGCCACTACCTCAACCTGGGCCTCTCTGTTCTGAATGGTCAGTTTCACTGTAATCCTCAGACTCTTCCAGTCACCGGGTGCTTTGGCGATGTCATCACCAACCTTTTTTGGAGTCAGACCCAGGCAGCCAATCTTGGGGGCCAGGGCATATGTGGCACCGACTTCCCCACTGGTGCACCGCAGGTATACAACTTTAATCTCGTTAGGGTCGACCTCTGGCGGCATGGTGGAGGCTGCTGGTGTTGGGTGAACGCGGATTAGGAGGACCAAAGAAAGTTGCACCTTCGCCCCCTCCAAGACAAAAGCTGAAAGCTCATGGTTATTTTCTGAGAAACTGTTTGCGTGACCTGAGACAGGATTGCAAGGTGGATAGTTTATTGCTTTTGCTTTTTTTCTTTCTTTGCCATCAGCGCCCTCACCTTCCTGGATTTGGTGTAAGGCAGATCACCCATAATAAGATCCAAATCTGTGATTAGACTGGAGGGAGGCTCATAGGTACCACAAATCAGAGAACAGGGCATCAGGTCCAGAATAGAAAGATATGGCAGAAAATAGATAAGATAGATTTTTTTGTTGTTGTTGTCATCAGATCAAAAATTAATGTTAGTGGAACAATCTGTGATAGACTGGAGATCATGGTGGTTTGCAACAGATGGTGAAAAATGGATATAATTTGAGGGTATAGCTAAGAGAATCTCCTGATTGATAAATGTGTGAGGAAAAAAAGAGTGAAGAATGATGCCCAAGTTTATCCTGAGCAACCAGAAGGATAATGTCATCATTTATCAAGATGAGCAAACTGTGAATAGAGAAGGTTTGGGGAGGATAGTAATAGTTTGGTTTTTGATATGCTGACTTTTAGAATGTTTTGTTTTAAAAAAGTCCTTTTTAAAACTTCCATTTTGTTTATTTTTTACATAATGCAGAATACTCTGAACTGAAATCAGGAAGATCAGTAGGTGAAAGCCTGCACATCTAATGGTAAAAACCGATCTTTCTTCCCGCCTTTGATCCTGACAAAGATGGCAGTCAAGATATACCCATTCCCTGATCCAAATCCTTTCTCCAACCCTAAGACATTCGTATACTACTCTTTGGGGAAACTGACCAGTTCAGGAGAAAAATCCCTGCAGACACCAATAATTAGAGATTTTCCACAGGAATATCTGAGTCAACAAAACTAATTCCTTACAAATCCCCAAACTCTGACCATGAATACTTTCATCTTATTGCTAATTTCACACACTATATATGAATGGACAATTAAATATCACGTGCTCACCCTAGGCGCAGTGTTAGGCCCTGGGAGAGAGTGGAGGCCTGGTGATCACATTTGCTCCTTAGCCTCAGAATTTAGGCAAGGATTTTTCTGGATTTGCCTCTGATTCTTGGTAAACATTCTTTCAAAAATACTTGGAGCAGACACATATTCATGGCAGCATTATTCACGGTAGCTAAAACACAGAAGCAAGCCAGTGTCCATGAAGGATAAGCAAAATGTTTACATACAAGCAATGGAATATTATTCAGCCTTTAAAAGGAAGGAAATGCTGACACATGCTACAATATGGATGAACCTTTTTTTTTTTTAATTTTTAAATAATGTTTACTCTTTTACAGTTGTCTCAATTTTTCCCCCTTTACCCTCCTCCATCCATCACACCCCCAACCCCCACTCCCACAATCAATTCCCACTCTGTTGTCCATGTCCATGGGTCATTCACACATGTTCTTTGTCTAGTCCCTTCCCTTTCTTTCTACCACTGTTCTCTTTTCCCATCCCCTCTGGTCTTTTTCAGTCTGCTCCATGTTTCCTTGCCTGTGGTTTATTTTGTTTGTTAGTTCATTTTGTTGAATAAATTCCCCATATAGGTGAGATCATATGGTATTTGTCTTTCATCAACTAGCTTATTTCACTAAGCACAATATTCTCCAGTTCCATCCATGTTGTTGCAATAGGTAGGAGTTCCATCTTTCTTTCTTTCTTTCTTTTCTTTTTTAAATGCAGACTTATTTTATTTTTTTAAATGTCAAAGTTAATTATAAAATATTAAAAAATTTAAAACCATTATAAAGTCTCAGCAATTAAAGCAACCTGACACCAGCATAGAAATAATCAAGTAGATCAAAAAAATAAAATGAGCATTCTAGAAACAAACATATATATCTATCTAACAATGTAATATATGATTAAGTTGATATTTCAGGTCAATGGGGAAAATAAGGCTTATTCAACAAGTAAGGTGCATGGATCACTATTACTTGAAATAAAACAAATATAGAGCACTATTTCTCACATTGTACAAGAAATATTCAGGTGAGTTAAAAATCAAATATATAGAACCTAAGGAGTTTTAGGAGAAAATACAAACTAATATTTTTCTTACCCTGAAGTAAAATATTAAACCCAGAAGCTATAAAGTAAAATATTGACAATATGATTATATTACACATTTAAGACTATATAGTAATATGCATATAAAAAATTAAAGGACAAGTAATAGGATGGGAAAGTATTTGTCATACATCTAAAAAAGGGTCTTACAGGAGGGTCACAGGGATTGAGAATAAAATACTAATAGAAATAAACTTGAAAGTGATGAAAAAAGTTTTGAGAATGGATAGGGCGATGGTTGCACAATAGAATGCGTTCAATACCCATGAACTCTACACTTAAAAATGGTTAAGAGGGTTAAAAAAATTAGTTAGGAAAAGAAAACACTTGGAACTTCTGAAGAAGAGTAAAGGGAGTTTATATAATAGTAGATGTTCTCAAAATTGCCTGTGAGCAACAATTGATCAAGAAAAAGAACCAGGCACTAAAATGGGCAAAAATGGATGAAATGTGTAGAAATAATATCAGAGCAGATAAATTAGAGGGATCTTAAAGGAGATGTTAAAATATCTTTCTGGTAACAATTACTAAGTATACTTTTTATATTTTTGTCATTAACACATGCATAAGTATATTTATTTCAGTCATGTTCAGTTTAAGCAATGCTTTGATTATAATGTTTCACTTAGAGTTGTGATCCATTTAACCATGTAGCATCTATGAATAGGATAACAATGGAGTTCACTGGAGGTCACAGCTGCTAGTGACCTATTATAATAATGAAATCATCTTTTTGAATTAACAGCAGAATCACTGCTTTATACTCTACTGCCTCATATAAACAATACCAGGTTTAGTAAGGGGGAAAAAGTAACAAAAGATGCGGATAATTTAAAGAGATCTCCCCAGAATAAAATATTATTGATAACGTTGACGAAACGTAGAGTTGAAGTTATTTATCTAACTTAACCAATACTGAATTTATAAGATTCTGGAGGGAACAGTTAAAGGGGAGAGAAAATAATCTTGGCTTAAACATTTCTTAAATTATTTTTGTTAAAAATAAAACAGTACCATGGGCAGGAACTCTCTGTACTTTTTGCTCACTTTTTCTGTAAATTTAAAACTGCTTTGAAACATAAAGTCTAATTAGTTTTAAAACATTTTAATGAAATAGCCCTTTTAAAAATACATTTAGCTTTAGAAACCTGCCAAAATTTTATGACATTTCTTGGGGAGAAATTTTATGGCAAAGCTTTTTTGCATTGCATATCCTAAAAAAAAATTGTATACAGATACAGATATAGATATAGATAAAACATGAGAGAATAAAATTACAATTGAAGAGGTCTTGCAGTTTAAACAAGACATGTCATATTCTTTTGAGATTGTGTTTTTGCTGTCTTCAATATGTAAAACCAATTCTAATTTATGTTATTCAATAGAATTCACATGTAAATTAATAATGCGAATCAAATCACAATTGAAATCTATTCATTGATCATTTTCAAGCAAGATTTAACTGAAATTTGAAATATATTTAAATGTTATTGCAATATTCAACTTCTGAGAAGATAATTATAAATATCTTATTAAATTTCTTTTAACCCTGATTCCAATATTTCTTATGTATTTACAATGACTCTCTGAATGATAAATTTTCTTTAACATTAAAAAATACATTTTTTCCTTTGTGGTGAATAAAATGAAATTCTCACAATATGAAAAAAAACTATTAACAGAAAATAAAGGAAAATCTTTCTTTCAAAGATTTTTGTGGCTTATCCTAAATCCATCCATCTTCTACCTATATACCTACCTACCTATCTATCAATCATCTATATGTCTATGCACAAGAAAACAGAAACAGACAATCAACCTTGAAAGAAGGTAAAAAGTGATCATAACACCTGTGTACTTAGTGTGGTTGATCATTTGATTTGCCTGGCAGTCAGGACCAAACTAAATCAGGACAAATCAAGACAGATTTCATAACCTTCAGAAAGAAAGAAGAATACTATACATCATTCTTTCAGGCTTTAAATTATAATAGCAATTTCTGACAAAAGACCCAAAGAAGCCACTGAGCAAAAATTGACCTAGTTTTGCTTAATAACAAAAAAATAAGACCAAATGATATATAACTTTTTCTTATAATAACTTCGGTAAAATCTGTGAGTATAACTTAAAACTCAATTCAGTATTAGTGATTTTACAATGGGCTAAGTAATGTAGTCAAGTATGCCTTCTCAGAATCTACTTTAATACAAGGGGAAAAAACCTTACTTTGAATGGCTCCTAAGAACAAATTCTTTCAGGTAAGGTTTTGATATGAGTTGAATAGCAGAATATTCAAAAATAAACTCTGAGGAGGACCCAGGAATGCTGGTATTCTGTATAACTGATGAAGAGAGAGAACCACAAGCTTTGGAAAGCAGGTCGGTTCGGATTGGGAATGGGTGTGGTAGAATAGAAGACTCACATGTCTGCATATAAGTAACTGAGTCATATGAAAAGGCATCAGTAGGCAAAGCCAGAGATTTTTCTGAAAAGTAGATTTGGATTTCCTCTAACACTTACTTGCTATTTCAGTGTTCTATACCAGAACACTCACAACTGATCATTTGGTCTGAAAAAAATTCAAGGCAACTTGTAGACAAACTTCAGTAATGTCTCATGGAGACTAAAACTCTGAGAGGGATAGCTAAAAGATATCTCAGGTGTATCAAGGTATTTATGGTATACTGAATTCTTAAAGCGTATGAGACCCTTCCATGTACATTGGCCATTTAACCTTTACAACAATCTTGTGATGTAGGTATTATTCTCCTTATTTTATGAATGACTAAACTAAGGTACAGAATTATATCATTATATCAACTTATACTTACCCCTAGAAGGGTTTAAAGTTGCTGTTTGTGCACATATATTATGTATATGTTACAAGTGCCTGTGTATATTTATACATATAAAGTGTAAATTTGTTCTGAAGTACATTTTAACATTTGCAATAAAAGAGACATTGTCTTTCATTTCTTTTCTTTAATCCTCGATATTTGGGAATTTGTCTGAGAACCAGGAGACACCTAATTATTTACATAAATTGACAGTGAAAGAATGAGAGACTCCTCCACCACCCCTGCCTGCCTCCTTCTGTCACTACCGGCGCTGTCCGTGTCGTCCTCAGGTGCGGACCTGGTGCCTCTTTTGTTGCCCCTAAGGAGACACTGTCGATCACTGTGACCATCAAAAAGCCCAAGGAAGGAGTCAAGACTGAGGACAAAGATTATATTAATTTGAAGGTGGCAGAGCAGGATGGTTCTGTGGTGCAGTTTAAGATTAAGAGGCGTACACTACTTAGTAAACTAATGAACGTCTATTTGAATGACAGTGTTTGTCAATGACGCAAATCAGATTCCGATTTGACGGGCAGCCAATCAATGAAACAGGCATACCAGCAGAGCTGAAAATAGAGGATGAAGATACGACTGATGTGTTCCAGCAGCAGACAGGAGGTGTCTACTAAAAAGTGAAACTGTGACTTTACTCCAGAACTCTATTCCTCCAGACCAAGAAGACATTCTCAATTAGAAAACTGCAATTTGGTTCCATCACATCCTTACTACTACAGTAGTTTCCCTTATTCTTTCATTTCTCCCTCCCCCATTCCTTATTGTACATAAAATAACTGATATGTGCACAAGCATTTGCATATTTTAACTAAACGGCCAATATATGTTACTTTATTTTATTTTATTTAAAGATTTTATTTATTTATCTTTAGAGAGAAGGGAAGAGAAGGAGAAAGAGAGGGAGAGATACAGATCAGCTGCCTCTCACTCATGCCCTAACCAGGGAAGGGCCCACAACCCACGCTTGTGCCCTGAACAGGAATCAACTGGCAACCTTTTGCTTTGCAGAACAACGCCAACACGCTGAGTCACACTGGTCAGGTCGCCAATGGCATGTTTCACTCAAAATCAAATGGAGATGGGATGGGGGAAAATACTGGTTCTGTGAAAATATTCCCTTTCTCCATTAGTGGCATGTTTATTAGGCTCTTCTCTTTCAATTCCAGTAAGTTTTTTTGCTCTCACTGTTTAACAAAAAAGGAACAATGTAAAAATCTGCATACCTTGTTTGATTGGAGAATTTTAATGTTTTTCATTCATCATTATAAGACCAAGAACAATTTTATAACTTTTTTTACGTAGCTGTTGTAACCAGGAAAATCTGTCTTTAAGTAAGGATAAATAACTCTAAAAAATATGAATCCTAGTTTTCCCCTCAAGCCAAGCATCTTGCTGTTTAAATAAACTTCTTGTTTTAAAAAAGGAATAAAAAGTCTGAACATTATGATGATGTTATAATATTTTTTCTCTTAATATAGGTATACAATTGGTAGTTTACTAACAAGGTCACACATTTTAAAAATTTTCTGTTTATTCAGATGGATAATATAAAAAAGTAGCTTTCGCTAATCAAAGACAAGATAGTCACTTGCTTGCTCAGGCATTGAAAAAAATAGTACAAAACAGTATAAAGATCAAATTATAGAAGTAATTTTGGGAATCCTCAGCACATGGTGATAATTGAAGTCTGCAGGATCTGAGTTCATCTATGTATAGTGGTGGAGAAAAGAAGGACTTAGAACTGAGCTCTTTGGTGATCCATCTTTTGTGATCTGATGGAGGAGAAACTCACAAGAGATCTGCAAGGAGCTTCTGGAAGAATATCACACAATTCAACAGAAGAGAGGAAGTTTTGACGAAGAGGAAGTTTCTTGCCAACGGCTAAAAAGCCAAGGAAGATGACAGAAAAACACCTGATTAGTTTCATGAGAGTCATTGATGACCTTGGTAAGAGTAGTAGAATAATTAGAAGCCATTTTGAAGAAGGTCAAAGATAAGTAAAGGAGGTAAGAAAGGGAGTCAGTGACAGCAAACATTCTTCTTAAAAGCATGGCTAGGGAGGGCAAGAAAAAGAGAAGTGGAGGGAAGGTTTTTGTATTTGATTTTGGATGTGAAGATTATACCCTGACAGTGTAATTATTGAGAGTGTGTTCCAGTGTGACTGAAAAATCAGTCTTTATTTTGGAGTTCCAATAATCATGCAAGGCCTGCTTAGATCCATGTTATTTGATGAGATATTTATTATTGTATTCTTGCAACTAGGGTGTCCCCAATGGCACTGTAGTTCAAATAGAGTGTGACAGAAACTGCTACTATTAGAATTTTAAGCTGGGCACAGGGCCTCCCCAAATAAAGACAATTCCCCAGTCTTCCCCATGGACAGGAGAATAAGATCTGACCAGTGGATATAAAGAAGAGTACATACCAGAGCAGCTTCGGAGACCCCTCTTTAACAAACAGCTCACATGAACCCTTTGACTCACTATGCCTCTTTCCTCCTTCCTGCTGGATGAAATAGTGACTTGATCCTTGCATGTGAAGTAACCTTCTTGGGCCATGAGGTGACCTTGAGAATAGAGGCCACAGATGACACAGCAAAAAACTAGAAGAATCTAAAGTCTGTGTTGACTTCATAAAACAGAGTTCCATGGCAACCTTAGTTCACCAGTATCTGGATGTTAATGGAAAAGAAAAATAACCATCTAATTTAAGCTGCTGATGTTTTGGGGGCTACTAATACTCTTACACAAATCTAAATCTAACTAATATATAAAAGAAAGAAAGAAAACTCAATTTGTAATAGAAATGATAAGCCATCATTGAAATGCAAGCAGATTAAAAGTCAGTGAAGAAAATACTATTTAGAATAATAGCATAAAATAATAATAAATAAAATAGCTAATAAATATAACAGCATTAAGACCGGGGATCCTGTCCAGCAGTACTTGATGTTAGGAAGTAAATGGTCAGGGAAATGATCATAATAGGAAGAAAATGCCACATGAGGAAATGGGGTCTCATATTATCCAGCCTCCTTGTATATCACTGGTCAAACATAGCAGATGCTCCTGTAAAGCTTTCCTTTAAGAGGAAAAATAAATCACCTCCCATTCAGTGCACATTCTTATACTTTATTTTAGCCACTTAAAATATCTTTAACCTGCTTAACCCAATATACACATATAACAGAGTCCATATGATTCCATTATTTGTTTGTTTGTTTTTTAATAGTAAGACAAATGGTAAAGTATGTGAAAGGACACAGCCAGCCCCATTTGCTATTGTGGCACCATTTGCCTAGCTGGCCTATTACCTTGTTAAATATGACTGCCATTTTACTCTTCTGAGCTTTTCCCCAGGACTGGAAATTACTGGAATCAAGAAGAGAATTAACCTCCCCCTACAGCCTCAGGTAGAAGATAACACTGGAACAAACTGCAACCTTATGTTACAACACCCAGACAGCCCAGAGGCCACGCAACAGCATCCACCCCACCCTTTTTTAATCCAATTATAATCCAATAAAAGATCAAAGCCCCTACCCCTCAAGGCTGGTATATCTCTCCATACCATGTTCCTCTCCTTTCTTGAAGAGAGAATAAAAACTTTTTTCTATACACTTTCTTCTCTTTGTAAATTCTTTCATAACCCACATCACTGACCACCTTAACAATATGCGGAAAAGTTTCTTCTGGTAACCATTTCTATTTCTTGATTTGAAGGAGTAAATCAAAGAAATTTAATGAAAAGAAAATCCACTTTTGAGTTGACTACCAAATATGTTATAAAAAAGCTAATAAAAAGTCATCATCTCAAGCTTCTAGCCAAGATGGAGGTGTAGGTAGATATGCTTTGCTTTTTCACACAATCAAAAGAAGGCTAACAACCAATTTAAAAACAAAAACAACCCAAACTGCCAGAAAACCAAACTGTATGGAAGTCCAACAACCAAGGAGTTAGAGAAGAAACATTCATCCAGGCTCATAGGAGGGGAGGAGAGGGGTATCTGGGGTAGAGAGGATGTGCAACAAGGAGGCAGCTGGTGGACTGGGTGGCCCCCCATTCATGTACAGATAAACCAATAAACCAGCAGGAACAACTGGGGAGTGAGACAGACCACGCAACCCAGGATTTCAGCATGGGAAAAGAAAGCTTTGAAACCTCTGGCTGTAAAAATATGTGGGGGTTGCAGCAGCAGGAGAAAGTGCCAGTCTCATCAGAAGAGTCCATTGGAGAGGCCCACAGGGTCCTAGAACATACATAAGTCAACCCCCTGGGGAATCAGCACCAGAAGGACCCAATTTGCTTGTGGATAGTGGGGGAAGTGACTGAAAGTGGGGTGAGAGCTGAGCAAGTGGCATTGTTCCCTCTCTGACCACTCCCCCACATACAGCAGCACAACGACAGTGGAGTGGATTGACCCACACTGGCAAATATCTACGGCTCCGCCCCATACAATGTAACGCGTGCTGAGACAAAGAAATGTTGCCCAAATGAAAGAACAGGTCAAAACTCAAAAAAAGAAGTAAGCAACAGGGAGATAACCAACCTATCAGAGGCAGAGTTCAAAACACTGGTGATCAGGAAGCTCAAAGAAATGACCGAGTACAGCCACAAAATAAAGGAAGTGAAGACTATACAAAGTGAAATAAAAATATACAGGGAACCAACAGTGATGGGAGGGAAACTGAGACTCAAATCAACAATTTGGAACAGAAGGAAGATAGAAACATTCAACTGGAACAGAATGAAGAAACAAGAATTCTAAAAAATGAGGAGAGGCTTAGGAAACTCTGGGATAATTTTAAACATTCCAACACCCAAATCATAGGGGTTCCAGAAGGAGAAGAGGAAGAGCAAGAAATGGAAAAAATTACTTAAAAAAATAATGAAAGAAAACTTCCCCAATCTGGTGAAGGAACTAGACATACAAGTTGAGGCAGCTCAGAGAGTCCCAAAGAAGTTGGATCCAAAGAAGAACACACTAAGACACATCATAATTACATTACTCAAGATTAAAGGTAAGGAGAGAATCCTAAAAGCAGCAAGAGAAAAGGAGAGAGTTACTTACAAAGGAGTTCCCATAAGACTATCAGCTGATTTTTCCAAAGAAAACTTGCAGGCAAGAATGTGCTGGCAAGAAGTTTTCAAAGTCATGAGAGGCAAGGACCTACATCCAAGATTGCTCTATCCAGCAAAGCTGTCATTTAGAATGGAAGGGCAGATAAAGTGCTTCCCAGATAATGTCAAGTTAAAGGAGTTTGCAATCACCAAGCTCTTAACTATATAAAATGTTAAAGGAACTTATCTAAGAAAAAGAAGATCAAAAATATGAAGAGTGAAATGACAACAAACTCACAACTATCAACAACTATCCTAAAAAAAAAAAAAAAAACAAGAACAAAAACAAACTAAGCATACAACTAGAGCAGGAACAGAATCAGAGAAATGAATCACATGAAGGGTTATCAGATGGGAGAGGGAAGGGGGAGAACGGGAGGAAAGGTACAGGGAATAAGAAACATAATTGGTAGGTACAAAATAGACAGGGGGAGGTTAAGAATAGTATAGGAAATGAAGAAGCTGAAGAACTTTTATGTACAACCCATGGACATGAACCAAACAGGGGGGTGGAATGCTAAAGGGATGGGGGTATAGGGTGGAGAGGGACAAAGGGGAGAAAAAAATGGGACAACTGTAATAGCATAATTAATAAAATATACTTAGAAAAAGTCATCATCTCTCATAATAAAGAGTAGGATTTCTATTCTATTTACATGCTTTTTACTGAGCGATAACCACTGTAAAACTATATATAATGGGCATGAATTTTATTTCACAATGCCATTGCACAATAATTCCCTTATTTTCTAAATCAGATATAATTTTTTCGGAGGTTGGAGGAAAAAATTCAACCAATCATTTTTGGGACTCATTTCTATTCCTCCGTGGGGGTCCTGAACAATCTGAGCTTCAATAATGTTAAAACCAGAGGTTGGGCTATCCTTTGTCCTCTATGGTTGCCAGTTTGCCACTGCTCTGTTGATGGCAGGATGCTGCTGTAGAGCCCGGCAGCCAGCCTCTTGGCCACTGAAGATCAGCCAGGCTCAGAGATGTATCTCACAGGGGATCTTCCCAAAGACTTCAGATTATGCCTCTCATTGCCAAGTTCCAGGGAAGATTACTGCAGGGCTTGGTTTCTGCCACCCAGTGGTGCATTCCATGTTGTCTTCCCAGCTGAAGAAGGTTTAAACTGTTTCTTCCAGTGTCTGAAAATATTATTTCTTTCTGGAATATATATAAGGAAAAGAGATGACAACCACAGTTCATTTTTTCTTGTAATTATGTACAAGGTTAAACTTATGTACCTCAGAAAGGATATTAACCTTTGTTTGAGCTTGTTCTCACAAGATATCATTATTCAAGTGACAAGTAGAGTGAGTAATTTCATTTCTCCGATTTGAATTTGGCTCCAGTTTACATGCTAACTGGCAGTGGAATTAGATCACTAACAGTTGGTTCTTCTCTCTATAAATTGACTGATACTATCAATTTCATCTTAATACATTTGAGCTCTGGTGAGTTTCCTTATGCCAGCTCCAAATATAAAATTAGCATAACTGTGTACTAATATGACCTGCCTATATCTTTGAATTTTCGTAGATAAATTCAGTTGTGATTATCCTTAGATATATAAAGCAATAGCTCTGAAAAACTTCTTATTGACCTCTTTCATGACTTGAAAGAAAAAAGTATAAATCTAACATTAGAATTTTAAGTAAATTCTAATCTGATTTAAATTTAAGTGCTATCCCTTTGGCAATTTTAATAATATTTTTAGTATTGTGATTATGGCAATAGATATTACATGGGTTTATTATGGTATTAAAAATTGAGATTAACAATGGTGAAATTCTTAAATTTATTTACAAAAATACCAAAAAGAATCTAAAGAACTGGTTTAGTATCATACATACCTATATACATACATATAAATATGTTTAATTTATATAAAGTAACACCTGACCTCACCACCACTAGTCTCATTTAGAGGATACAAGGGAACCAGCTCAGTCATCTGAAAACTGTCAGTAAAGTAAAAGGTCAGAGATTTAATGTCCCTTTTTGTATGAACTATATTTCAGGAAAACTAAATAATTGTTGAGGGAATTTTTTTCTCTGTAAAAGAATTCCAGCCAATGAATTTTAAAAAAAAGAAAAAAGATGAGAATATCAACATTTTGCAAAACCCAAATCAAAGAATGGATCCAAGCAGTGGTTATCAGTGATTGCTAACATCATTAAAAGAGAGCCAACAAGATATTATGTATCTCACAATACAGTAGTCCTCTTTTATCCATGGAGGATGCATTCCAAGAACCCCACACCTGAAACCATGCAGAGTAGAGAACTCTATATATATTATGTTTTTCTTATACATATGTACATAAATTGGGTACAGCAAGTGATTGACAATATAACTGATAATGAAATAAATTGATTATAACAATACACTAACAAAAGTTATGTGAATGTGGTCTCTCTCAAAATATCTTATTGTACTATACTCACTCTTCTTGTGATGCATTGGTGGAGCCATTTCATAAACAAGATGGCTGTCACCCACCCTTTTTGATTATGTTGCCAGAACACAGGCAGATAACTTTTGTTTTGGAGAACACATGGGTTTTTTTGCTCTGTACATTACATCTGGCTTTATCATATGCCCTCCAGCATTGCCACATCATACCAGAGTTAATCTATTCTTCCATGTTTTTTGCCCTGGTGCCTTCTTTGCACTTTTATGAACATAGGTTCTATTGGGCACCTTTTTTGAAAATAGCCTGGTTTCATTGCAATGGAAGACTTGTTTTAGGTGGTATCCTTTTCCCTTAATCAACTTCTTCAACTCTGCCAGAAATGTGGCAGCAGCTTCTTCAGAGGTAGACACAGCCTTTCCAGTAATTTTTGTATTTTTCAGTCCAAGCCTTTTCCTAAACCTGTTTAACCATCCCTCACTGCAGTAAATGGCCTGGTGTCACTCATTTTGGGAGATCCCTTGCTGAAGTCTTCTCATAGACTCAATGTTTTCTGGGGCAACACATTGCCACCATTGGAACGTTTTGTGTTCATGTCTTCCATCCACAAATTTAGTGTCTTTCCCATCTAACTAAACATTTGTCACTCACTGTGGCAGCAACTTTTGCAGTTTGAGATGCAACAGCAAAACTAGCACAAATTTTTCTTTCTTCACAATTTCATGGATAAATTTATTCTTACTGTAGATCTGAACAAACTCAGCACACAACCTTTTTCTTTCCTTATTGAGAGCTTTCACCTTTTTTCTTAAAGGAAGTAGTTCACAGATTCTCTTTGGCATATAGGAATTGCCAACATCACTTGTGCTTTGGAGCCATTATTAAGTAAAATAAGTATTAACTGAACCAAGCACTGTGACAGCTCAGTAGTAAACCTGATAACCAAGACAGGACTATGTGACTAACATGCAGGGAGCATGTACAGTATGGATACACTAGACAAAGAGAGGATTCACGTCCTGGGCTGGATGGAGCAGAATGACTGAGATTTCATCATGCTACTCAGAATAATGCACAATTTAAAACCTACACATTGTTTATTTCTGGAATTTTCCATTTACTATTTTTAGACCATAGCTGACTGTGACAAAATATGGATAAGTGGGACTACTGTACCATTTATGAAGTAGCCTTGCCAAAAAACCAAATCTGTATAAAGTAAGCCTTTAAATCTAGCTAAAAGTTTATGGGAAACATGGGGGAAGAAAAACACATTAAAAGATACCATTGGGAGGTAGGTGCAGAAAAATCCAAATACTGAAAATGCTACAGGCTAAAAGACATGATTTTTCAAAAATTCAGTTGCAAGGAATGAAAAAGAAAGGGGATATTACTAGATAGCAACCGATCTCAATATGTTGACATTATTTGGATTTTCGCAAACTATTTCTAAATTACAACTTTTTAAAAAACAATTGAAAAATTAAACATGGGTTCCTAAATATTTAGCATTATTGAAGAATTATTGTTAAATTTTTCAGGTGTGACATGGTATCATAATTATGTTTTTGTAAAGAGCTATTTTCTTTAGAGATATATGTATATAATATAAATAGAAATATTTATGAATGAAATGATATAATGCATGGAATTTGCTTCAAAATAATATGGGTGAGTAAAGGTATGGATAAAACAAGATTGTCCATATTGAAGATGGGTGATGGTCTTGGATGCAAGAGAATTCATTGCATTATTATTTTTACTTTGTAAAGGGCTTATCTTTTAAATATACATGTAGAAAAATTTAGAGATGAAAAGGTACAATACATGAGATTTGCCTCAAAATTATCCAGCTCTGGGTGGATGGGTAGAGTGGGTGAGTCTACAGAAAAAATAAGATCTGTGACTCTGAGTTGTTGATGTGGAAGCTGAGAGGTAGGTATGGTTTATTACAATATTCTCTTTACTTTTATATGATTGACATTATTCCATAATAAAAAATTAAAATAAATTTGATTCACTATCACTATTACAAGAAAATGTATTTATTTACCTGGAAAATCATAAAAATTATGAATATAGAGCAATTCACTTGTGATGGAAAAACACATTAGGAAACAATGCTGTTGCAGATAGCCTCTTCAAGGCAATGCCTCAATGTATTATATAAGGCAGAATAGCCACGCACAAATCTTAGAGGCACAAAACAGTTTATCTGCTATGACAGGCTAAATTTTGTTGTAGTAACAAGCCACCCAAAAAGTCTCAGTGACATATAACAAGGTTTGTTGTCCTCCCTGCCCCCAGCCCCAGTAGTGTTCTGTTCATTGGAATCTCTTCCTGACTCAAACTGACGGAGCAGCCACATCAAGTCTTGCCTATTGCTGTCCCAGAGGGGAAGCAGGACCTGGGGTATCTCACACTGGTGAGTAAAGGATCCAGTCAAGAAATGACACATGCCACTTCTCACAATTCATATGCTTGAATCAGTCACATGATCCTATTCAACCACAAGAGGGCCAGGAAGTGCATTGCCATCACATGCCCAGAAGACAAGATAGCTGGAAAAATTTGGCAAAGAATTCTAATGACTATTGTTAAGAGAACCCGTGTCATGATATTGAAGCTGTATCATACTTTAGTCCTGGGAATGATTGTACCTTGTTGCCACCCCTAAGACAGCATTTAGACACAAGTGTTCATCCATCCTTTTTGGTTATTTCTCTCCTTTGACTCGCAGTCATACAATATATTGTATGAAGAGACTGCAAAAATAAATGCAAGGTAATTGGTTGATTCAATTATGCACTACGTAGCAATACTTTTTAGAAGAAAGTGTTCCATTTTCCCTCTTGGATTATTAATGTTATTATAAAAAAAACTTAGAAAATACAGACAACTAAAAAGAGAGAAATCACTCATATCATCTTTAAAATATAATCCAGTTAATATTTTAGTGAATTTCTTCCAAAGTTTTCTATTATTAAAAAACCAAAACTTTCATGCTCACCAAACCTATAACTATTTCTTTATTAGTAATATTGCTCTAGTAGCTGATTTAATTGGCCTTGGAATAACAGATAATTCTTTTAAAAGATGTTTTAGCCCCTTTTCTCATAACATGAGTGTTTAAACACAGTTATGTAGTACTTAAATACTAATGGCTTACTAAAATTTGGTTACATTATGTTTTGGAGAAATGAATCTCTAGTTCTAAAATTGTTTGTTAGTATAAGACCAGCCATGAAACACATGAATAATTGTAATAGTTATTTTCATTTGCTTCTGGTATTTTCTCCACCCAGATTACTTACGAGAAGGGAACAGCTTTAAAAGTTCATATTACTGTGGAATTTAAACCTCTTAAATCATCAAGATTCTAATTACCTTTCAAAATAAACTGCTGATGATTCAAGCACTGACTAGTTAGACTAAGAAATAAGTTGGTCACATACGTTACAATTGGGATGATTTCTTCAAGTCCAGAAGCCATTTGGTTATAAATTGGATCTTCAGAAGTCAAAGATGATACATGGAATTTTTCAGAAATTATCACTCAAACTTTTCTAAGAACTCTTTTTGACCCTGCATTTCATGTATGGATTTCTTCTTTATTCTACTCAATAAAGGAAATCATAAAAAATTTCATTGACCCAGAATCTATACAAAGATATCATAATCTTACTATGTTACAACTATCTCTCAATTATTTATGGTAGTAAATAAAAGAATAACACAGTGGATTGTGAACTTCAGTGCAAAAATCATCAATTATCCCTCTTTATAATCCTTACAACTCTTAGGATAATGACTGCACAGAGGAAACACTCATCAACAAATAAATGTGATAACAAGGTACAATTGCGTTTGTATATGAAAGGCATTAGTTTGGATAACTTGTTTATTTTCCTTATTGCTATTCCATATAAATCTCTGTATTCTGGAGTATCTCCTTACAATTTCCAGAGGGAAAATTACTAAATTAGTTCATCTGAACATTTCTTAGTATAATTTGACAAATAATTTCATAAAGTCTTTGTCCTAATTTAGATTCCCAACAAGATATGAGTGCTAATTTCACTCTATCCCCACCAATGGAGTTCATTCATATTTTAAACAAACTGGCTGATTAGATCTATGAGAAATAATATCTCTTTGGTCTTTGTTTCATTATCGCGTTGAACATTAGCAAAATACATAGTATACTGGCACTTGAATTTCCTGTTTTGTGAACTGACTATTCATGTATATACATTTCCCATTTGACTAAGGTCTTAGTGTTTTTTATTTCTGTTATCTGTTCCTCATGCTGTATTATACTTTTATCCCAAATATGTATGTATGAATGCGTATGTGTGTATGTATATATGTACATGTATGTATGTGTTTATATGTATGTGCATGTATGTGTATATATATATACAGGGTCTGGCACAAATAACACTCCTTTTTTATTACAAACTCATAGCATGTAATTCTGTAACATAACAATATCACACTCAAGCATACCATATGACATTTTAGGTGAAATGTTCAAATTAAAACTATAAATTATTACACCCATATTCTTACCCTATCAACCGCATTCAAGAAGGCATTACTTCTGCTGGACCCTGTATACTATTAGACTGTGGCTGATAAAGGCAGTGACCTCATTTTATTTAACTGTGAACAACAACTAACACGAAGAATAGAAAATAAACACTGTACTTTCCAAAATTAGTCTTACTTAGGATAAAATGAGATAATAAGCAAAGCATTTAACACAGTGCCTGTCATATAGCAGGTGTTTAAGCAATCAATAAAAGCTTCAATGTTGAACTAAAACCACACTCTTCCATTTTAGAGTTTAGGAAAATCAAGATTAGAGAAAGAAAATCAACACTGAGTAGATAATAAACTGCAGATTTAGGATTTGAACACCAATTCTCAAATCTTTCATCATAATCACATCAGGCTGAAATATTCCTGAGATATTGTGACTAGTGAAATTTTTAAAGGACTAGTTATGAAATTTAAGCTGGTAAAACCTTTTGCCAATTGATGAATTTTCTGCCTCCCACAAGTAATGATACCTTCATCCCACACAGAGATGTCTCTTCTTCCCTCACTTAAATTTAAAAGAAACTTGTGGTAAAAATAGTAAAGCTCAACAAGCACAAATAATGCATCACGCGCAAGTCATTTTTTTTTTCTCCATCAGATTAGTTAGCTTTTGTTGTTAGACTGGGAGGCAGCTGTCCTTGTGGCCACTGTTAGAAAAGCAGAACTAAAGCAAGGAGAGGGAAGGACCAAGCCGCCACGGAAATGGCCAGTCGGCTGGAGGGCCTGAAGCTCAGGGAGGGTTAGGAGCATTTTCCTTGCGGCCGGGCAGCTCGGGGGGTTTGCAAAACAAATCTGAAGTAAACAGGTTTTCGAGCACAGCAGACCCGCGAGCAGGCTGGGTTAGCTGTCAGGCAGGCGGGTACGTCCGGTGCAGGCCAAATCGCTGCGCCTCGGGTTCTGAGGACGGGTTCTGAGGACGCTTGAGGCTGGGGGCAGAGGAAGCTGCTTCTAGGTCAGCGAAGGTCAAAGGAACCCGAACAGGGACGCGGGTCACCTCCTGGTCTAGGTCCCAAATCACCTAGTGCGAAATCGAGTCCAGAGCTAAGACCGATCTTCAGCATCCCTGTCCACCGCTAAATCTTCTCAGGCACTTCCAGAAAGAAGCCCAGAGCCCCAGGCTCAGGCCCCTCATTGCAGCGCGCAGGCGCCTCGGGACCGAGAGGCCACGGACGCGGAGGGAGGGGGCGTGAGATCAGTAGGAAAGCCTCTGCGCCTGCGCCTGCGCAGTTTGCTTACTCCCAGGTCGAGGAAACTAACCTGGAGCCGACGTCGCACACTCCCTGGAGTCCGGTCCGGTCCGGGGCTGCTTTTCGCTCCTCAGCGTGTCGTCTCAGCGAATCTTCAGAGAGCTCCGCAGGCAGGGGTGTGGGAAGGAGGTAAGAGCCCTTGATGACAGATATTCTGGCTTCTCCTCACTCCTGCTGCCCTCACGGAGGGGGCGGGGTAGCTGCTGAATTCTCTGCCCTAGGGTCTTGGACTGGCCTTCCTTTTCTTCCGGGGGCCGAGTGTGGGCACCGGACCCGTTCCTTATCCGATCCCTAACAGCGGGCTGGAAAATCACGACCCTGAAACCTCGCGTCCCTGCTGTGAAACCTGGAAGACCGTATCAGGCCTGGAGGGTAATCTCAGCGGCTGTTCGCTGGGGGCTATCTACTGGGTCTCTTTGAGTACCTGGCACTGCCGAGGGAGCGCCCCCGGGGCCGAGGCGGGTGGCGGCAGGAGCGCCCCCAGGGTCGTCTGTCCTGGCAGGGGAGGGGCTGCGCCTGCTGGAGGCGACTTGTTCCCGTGGAGTGGCAGAGTCTTCACTGAAAAGTCTCGACCTCCGCTTGCGAATCTGTCACTGCCGCGGGTGCTCTCGTTAAGCCCTTTCCCGCACTGATCCATTTTCCTCCTCCTTTTAGACAGGAAGGATGAGGTAGTGTTCCTTCTCCATTATCTTTACCTTAGTACCTTTGAAATATGCTAAAAGATGACCTAACTTTTAAACTAGTAACTTGTAATACCGTCATCGCAAATTATTGTATTTCAGATTAGGGGTGTTCTTGTTAGACTCTTAGGGAGACCAGCCCATAAATTTGATAAACTAATGTCTTAATTTAACAAAATAGGTGATATGTCGGTCGAATTAGGTTCCTTCATTTATTATTTTTAACTTGTCTTTTGAATTGCCAGAAGTTTAATGGTGGATCCAGGAGAAAAATTATATAAATTTGCACCAAATTTTTTTTTATATTCACCCCTGGATGTTAAACTGTATGCTTCATGTAAAAAAAATTCTAAGTATAATAATGAATAAGGGAAAAAATCAACTGTAATTCCTTTATTTAAAGGTAATCAACCACGGTTAATATTTTGACTTTTTATCTTTGAGCCTTTTTCCCATGATATTTTCTTAATTAAGATGAGATTTTTATATAGAGTTGGGTTGGCTGCTCTTCTTGCTTAAAATTATACTTTAAGCATTTTTCTCATGTGTTAAGACATCTTTATAAACATAACGTTATTTTTTTTATTACAGGTATGGTAGCAGAATATCTTTTGAAACAGTTACATTATAAATAAAGCTAAGTTATCATCCCCAATCATAATGTTACATAAGATGATGGTATTATAGTTAATTTAACCAAATGGGTCTAAGGATCTCTTTACACACTTAAAAACTGTTAAAGACTAAAAAATTTGTTTTCTAATGTAGTGTATTTACCATTTTAGAAATGAAAATTCAGAACATTAAAAAATTTTTAGTTCATTAAAATAATAATAAATCATTAAATAATATTGTTGAAAAATAACTTTTCTTTAAAAATTTAGTGAGAAGGGGTCATTGATTTACATTTTTTGCAAATCATTTGACTGTCTGGCTTAATAGAAGATAGCTGGGTCCTCATATCTGCCTCTCTCCTCAGTCTGGTCTACTATCTTATTTAGGCCGGAGCATATTAAGAAAATCCAGCCTTACACTGATGTATGTTTGGAAAAGGAAGAACCTCACAGAACCCCTAAAAAGGTCTTGGGGACTTCCAGGGGTCCTCAGACCTCAGTCTGAGAAAGCTGATTTAATCATCCATGTATTAATGAACTTTTAGGTTTTTTACAATTCTACACTATTACAAATATTGCAACAATGAAAGTTCTTTGTGATGTGTTCTAGTGCACAAGTGCTCATGTTTGTATACTAGTAGAATTGCTAGGTCATAGAGTATGTACTTTTAAAAAAGTTTTTATAGACATGAACATTACTTTTGATGCCTGCATAATTTTATGCTGTGTCCCATTGTTGGCATTTAGAGTGTTTCTGTTAATGATTTGGTGAAATATCTTTGCATATTTTTAGTTATTTTGGACTGTTTTCTTAAATTTCTAAAGAGAGTTTAGATCAAATGTTAGGAATCTTTTTGAGGCTATTGATATGTATTGCCACATTGTTTCCCTGAAAGAGCATACCAATTTACTTTCTATCAGTGTGTTTTGAGATGCTGTTTTTATACACCCTTAACAACATTGAGTAGTTTTATTATTAAAAAATTATGTTCTGATTTAGTAAGCAACAAATGGTATGTTTTAATTTGCATTTTTTTGATAGTGCAAATTGTGTATTAAACATTTTTTTCATAATCTTACTAGTTGTTCGTTCATGTTATTTGCCCTTTAATAGTCTGGTGTCCAAGTGCTTTTTTAACAGATTTTATTATTTTTTTTTGGAAAGGATATGTACTATAACTCTTCTAGAAAAGGAAAATTATCTTTCTTTTTTCTTGTTTACAAAAATAGTACATTTTTAAGTGAAAGACTCTAGGGACATGTAGATGTAAAAGTCTTACATAATCTCAAATAGATACCATTATTAACAGTTTGACACTTGGTCCTCTATAGTTTTTTTCCTGTGCTTTTGCTAGTACTGTTTTTTTTTTTTTTTTTTTACAACATTTGTAAAAATGGATTTGTACTAAGCATGTAGTTTTGTAGAGTTGGTTTTTTTCTTTGTCATTTAATATTATATATTGAATATTTTTTTATAGAAATACATCTCATTCTTGGCAAAGTTTTATCCAGTGGCTTTAGGAACACTAATTATGGTATTTAGTTATCTGATATCAGGCTCCTGTACTCTTTCATATTCTCTTCCTAGGTGATTTCTTGCTGCCAATTCCCAATTCTTTTTCTCAGACTTCTCTTCTGCATTCCAGATCCTTATATCCAACTGCCTATTGGACATCTCCCCCAAGATGTTCTCAAGGTACATCAAACAGCAGTCCAAACGTGAACTCGTTTCCCCCTCAGTCCTGCTCCTCTTTGTGTTGCCTGACATCGTCAGTGGTACCGTCTACATAGTCATCCACAGTGGAAACCCGGCAGTAACGCTACTGTTTTCCCTTGTTTTCACTCCACAATAGTTCCTACTCTTTAGCCCCTTTTATATCTAACTCCTTTATATCTGCACTGCACTGTCTCAGTTTAGGCCCTTAGCATCTGTCACCTTATCCGTTTTAGATGTCTCCTTACTACTGTTTGGTTGATTTTCTGATTAATCTCCCATGTTGCTGCCAGTTTTTTAAATCGGGAAGAGACTTTTAAAAGCCATTTTTGTAAATGTTATGCATATTTGTTTGTAAATCTGAGAGTACATAAATGGGCAAGTGAGTAAACATTACCTAAAATAGGTTACCATAAGTATAATAAACTTGTTTAGAATAGGGAGTATATCTTGTTTTTTTTAAATATTTTAAAGATTTTATTTATTTTCAGAGAGGGGAAGGGAGGGAGAAACAGAGGGAGAGAAACATAGATAGATGTTCAAGAGAAACATCAGTTGGTTGCCTCCCACCCTAACTGCAACCCAGGTGCGTACCTCAACCCAGATGGAACCTGTGACCTTTAGCCCTGAATGAGGGATGGCAACCAGCTGACCACCTGAGCCACACAAGGTCAGGACTTCTTCCCTCCCTCCATTTCTCCCTCCCTTCCTCCCTCCCTTTCTTCCTTCCTTGTTTTCTTCCTTCCTTTCTCCTTTTCTTTCTTGTTTAAAGATTTTATTTATTTTTAGACAGAGGGGAAGGGAGGGAGAAAGAGAAGGAAAAAAAACATCAGTGTGCAAGAGATGTTTCAGTTGGTTGCCTCTTGCATGTCCCCAGCTGGAGGCTGGCCTGCAAGCCAGGCATATCTTGACTGGGAAACTAACCAGTGACCTTTTGATTCCCTGGACAGCACCTAAGCCACTCAACTGCACCAGTCAGGGCAGGGCTTACGTTTCTTTTGTATCTTCTGTCCGTGGTAGATTACTGGCACAGTATGTATTAATACATATTGGTGGACTGAAGTGGGAAGTATGTACAACTTAATAAGGTTTCATGTTTAGGTTTCAGTTTACGATATTTGCATTATCAAACCTACAGATTGTTAGAATATGTTATTATTTTGTGATTATTTTACCTTTTTAGATCTTTTAAAGTATCAAATAGCATAATGAGTAGTACATTGCTCTATAAATAGAGATACTTTGTGAATAGTATTTATTGAACTCCACAGTTTTTTACAAAAATCCTTTGGCTTTTTCTAATGAGAAATTATTTCTAGACTTTTCAGTTCCTGTGCTTATTTTTTTATACATTCTATATTGAGTTCCTTTACTATTTTGTACAATTATATTTATTTTTAATGTAATGTTTATGTTTATCAAAGGAGTACCTGTACATAATCTAAAGAGGTAATGCTATGAGACTTAATGAAAAATAAGTTTTCTGCTCAAGTCCTTCTCTCCCCTGCATCCCATTCCCCAGAAGTATCCTTTCTTTATCAGTGTTCCTAATCAGAATCACAAAATACAGAAAATGATTTGAGTAACTATTTTCTCAATTCCCCAAGGATGGTATATAACTAATGACACTTTAGATGGCATAGAAGAGAAGTTAATTTATTACATAAAGTGGATACTTTAGGGCAGTAAGGCTTAATTCTCTCACAGAATCCTTATTGAAAAAGGCTGCTCCTGAAGCCAATGACTATTCAACTCTTTTTTTACCTCTAATTTTTAAAAAATAACAGGCTTATTTACACAACTCTCTCCCCTCCCTACCCCCATCCTACCACAGTTTTAGATATTATTTACCAATTTCCTATTATAGAAAATGGGAGTCTAGGTTTGTTACATCAACCTCCACCTTTAAACACTGCATTGCAG